AATGATCATCCTATCATGGAATATACATAAGCTTGGGAGTGTCAGAAGGAGAAGGGTGCTACGTTGACGAGTTCATAGATGTAGGCCTAATATTGTAGTTTTGCAGGAGACCAAGCTCACGAATTTTGACTTATCTTTTTTTAGATCTTTTTGGGGATCTAGCCCTATTGAATATTTTTTTATTGCTTCTTGTGGCCTTTTTGGAGGCCTTTTGACTCTCTGAGACCCCTCTGTATTTTCGGGACTTTTGTTCCATTCCTCTTTTTGTGACATTTCTGTTACTTTTACTTGCCTTGATGGTTTTGTATGGTGCATGGCAAGTAAAATGTAATCGAGGAAAAAAAGGAATTTTTATCATCTATCTCAATTATCACGTCATGTGGGACCCCTTGATGTGGTGCCGGTGATTTCAATCTGGTTAGGGGTCCCCATGAAGTGTCTACTCCTTTTGCTATTAACCGCCAAATGCTTTTTTTTTATGCTTTTATTAACTCTCATGGTTTGTTTGATTGTGAAGAGGTGGGCACCAATTTTACTTGATCGAATAACTCCACCATTAACCCAAAAATGTCCAAGCTGGACAGTTTTCTGGTTATGGAGGGCTGCGATAAGTGGTTCCCTAGATCCTTGGCTAAGGTTGTTCCTCAGCTTGCCTTAGATCATGCCCCTATTGTGCTGGACTCTCTTGAGGTGTCTTTTGCACCCCTCCCTTTCGTTTTGAACTTATGTAGTTAGAGGAGAAATCCTTAACTCCCGTAGTGAGAAACACCTGAGATGTCAGCCTGGGCATTGTGGCTGGAACGTGAGATTGAAAAATTCCCTACCGAGTACTTGAGTATGCCACTTGTCAATGGGAGATCCCCCAGATCTTTGTGGGACTACTCATTCAAAGAGCCATATTCAAATTAGATGGGTGGAAAGTAAGATTCTTGTCTATTGTAAGTAGACATGTTCTCATTAAAGTCACTCTTTCTAACGTCCCTATTTTTTTTTTTCTCTATTTCAGGCTCCTGCTTCTGTCATTCACACGGTTGAATCTCTTATATGACACTTTCTATGGAGCGGATCACAATCGAACAAGAAATTCCATTTCCTAAGTTATGCTTCGGTTTGTTTTCGCAAAAAGGAAGGGGGTCTAGGCATCTGGAAGCAGTGAATGAATCATTGCTTACCAATGGTGGTAGAGGCTATCCAATAATAGGGATCCAAGGGTTATCTTTGGTAAGTATGGTAGGGACCCTAATGGCTTTATTACAATATGTTGCACAAGACTAACCAACCTATCGCCTGTTTGGAGGGGGATTAAAGGAATTAGACCTTTATTCCTGGCCTACTCAAGGATTTTAGTGGGTGATGGAGCCCATACACGTTTCTGGCATGCCAATTGACAGGGCGAGTATCCACTGAAGCTATTATATCCTGATCTCTATAGCAGATCGATGCAAAAACAAGAGGTTCTTACCAATATGATTTCCTTCTCTGGGGAGCAGCAGGTCTGGAATGTCAAGATCAATATTCGAACGGTTAATGGTATTGTTGTTGATCAGTTTCAGACCTTACTTGCCTCGCTTTATGCCTTTTTCTTTTACCCCTGGAAGCTAGATAGGATCATCTGGTCCCTAAAATCGGGTGGTGTTTTCTTGACTAGATCCCTCTACCAGGCGATCAATAGGGACCGTAGACAGGCCTTTAGTGGCTAAGTTTTGGAATTGTAAATTGCCACATAGAGTCAAAACCTTTTTATGGTTGCTTGGCTTAAAAAGACTTCTCATCATTGATCGAATGAGAAGAATGAGAATATTCCTCACCAATGTTTGTTTGCTATGTAAAAGTGATGAAGAATCAATTAACCATCTTTGCATCCACTGTTCTTTTGTTTCAGTCTTATGGAACTGGCTGATGGCTAGTGCCAATTGGATTGGCCCGAGACACATGGAGACCCATGCCTTGCTACAACAAATATGAACTCCTCCTTTCTCTGCCTTGGGAGTTAAGCTGCGGAGGATCTCTGTCGTAGCTACTTTATGGAACTTGTGGAGGGAGTGACATTTGAGAACCTTTGAAGGGCGCAGTAGAGATTTGCCTTCCTTCCTTGCAATTGTACAACGATCCATAGTCACATGGGCCTATTCCTATATTTCCCTTTAAGCAGTGCCCATGGATCTTTCCTTCACTCATTACTCTCACATACTACTCTTCAAACAAATATGTCCTTCCATGCGTTTCGTTTGGAAAGCACCACCTGTTGGATGGGTCAAACTTAATTTTGACAGCAGTGTGAAGGGTCAGACTGCTAGATATGGAGGCCTTCTTTGAGACCATTTGGGCTCAATTATTTGGACTTATTTAGGGAAGCTTCATCCTTACGAAGTTAGTGAAGTCGAACTATGTGCCTTGAAAATGGGGGTATCTTCATTTCTTAAGATGATCATTGAAGGTGACTCGGCAAATGTGATTTCTTGGTACTCCTATCAGGACTCTACCCCTTGGCTGCTATGTGGTCTCATGGATGAAATGCTTCTTATGCTTAGGGTTTTTTATGTCACTTTTTGACACGTTGTTCGTGGTTTTAACTCTATGGTGGATTGCTTGGCCAATGATGCTACGTCTTGACTGACCTTGTTTTCTCTCCTTTCCTTCTCCCCTCTCTTCTTTTGTCTATGTTTTTCTCTGTTTTTTTTTCTCTTTGTATTCCTTTCATTATCTTAATGAAGCTCGCACTTGCTCGAAACAAAATAAAATATTCTGCCCCATAAAGCAAATAGTCTCACAATTGTCCTATATAATTTCCGCTTCAGCTTCATTAGTATGTGGTGATCATATACATATATGCACTTCACCTACCCAGCTCTAATTCTATGTGTGACATCTTCCTCAATCTCTCAAATTTCATGGATTATTGACCCTAAGTTATCCAAAAAAAGTATATTTATTAAGATGAATTATTTAATATTGTATTCACGTAATTGATTTAATTTCAAAATACTCATCAAAAGACATTTGATTATGAGTTGGAATAATTGAAAATGTGTAAAATATTAAAGGGTGTAAGGTTGCAACCTTAAACAATCCAATTAAGGTGCACCTCCAAATTTTATCATATGTATTTTTGGTAAAAAAAATTCTTAGGATTATCTCAAAATCTATCTTCATATATAAAATTTTAAACTCCAAAAATCGTTAAAATCAAGTAGATCTATAAACATATGAAAATCTTGAAAATGGACGGTCTAGATAATGTGTTGCAAGATGCACTATTTCTGAGATTTACAATCTTTTTTTTTTTTTTCCATATGCATATATCTTGATGTTGAGATAATCAATTAGAGGGTTTTTCAACATTAAAACAACCTTTTCTTATGGATTTTTGAGGTACATCTTTAATTCTACATTTTAAGGTTGCAACCTTGTATAAACTTTTTTCAATGTTAAATAATGCTTATCTCATGGGTAGTTTGATAAATTTCCCTTATTTTTATTTTCCCACTCTTCTGTAATGAATACATGTTTTAATATGGCTTTTATTTGGGACAAAAATCATATAAGGTGTCAACTCTTTACTATAGAAATCAAGTACACCTCAAAAACGTGCCGAAAATTTTTTTCTAAAGAAAAAATCCTTCAATAGATCATTTTTATTTTGAGATTTAAGATAAAAATAAAGTAAATTTTCTGAAAAATTGTGCATCTTGTAGTATATTATTTAGGGGGAAAGGTTTTTGTACTTCACCTACAACATAGAAGATCTATGCTTCCCCTACCATCCAGCCATCCAATTTTGATCAAGTGAGCCACTCACCGTTTGATCCTAGATCCGACGCCTCAGAGTATTTTAGTTTTAATTTTTTAATACAAATTGTATGAATATGAAATTTGGTACGTGCCATCTTCTCATTGGGGTGAACCTATTAAAATTTTTTTTTGATAAAATATAATGACTAAAATATACCTTGAAACTTTCAGGGGTATTTTAGTTATTTTATTGTATTGAGAATATTTTTTTATATTTTTTACAAGTGCGAGTTTAATAGAGGATTAAACGACCAAAATTTGGTGTCAAAATGTTTACATAAAAAAATTAAAAATAAAATAGCGTAGAGACATGACATTATGATTGGGGCCATCTTAGCCTTCCATTCAGAATGCACGGTTGGATGAGGGGAAGCATATAAGTTTATGTTGCAGGAGAAGCATAGAAAACTTACCCTTATTTAGGCCGTCTATCTTCAAGATTTTCAACTATTTATTGATTTGCTATCGATACTAGTATTTGAGCTTTAAATTTTATAATTAAAATGAAAATAAATTATGAGATTTTTGAAAAAAAATTGCATCTTTTAGAAAGGTCTCAAATGACCCTTGCAACTCCTCAAACAATATTTAAGCAGGGGCTGGGGTCGTGGTGGTAGCATCCTAATGACCACATTGTGGTTTTCATTCCCAACACTAATATCACGTTACTAACACCTTCAAAAAGCTAATTCCTAATCTACTAGAAAAACGGTTACGGACTGTCTTCCCCTCTGAATTACCCAAAAAACAACTCCTCAAACAATATTCCAATAAAATAAGGACCCGGTTTCTAGGCGGCCAAGCCGAATAGGTAGAAATGTGGGCCTACTAATATATCTATTTTGGAGATTGATTTTTGGACTTAATTTTTAAGGACATGTAATTTCAAACTTGGAGATTATGAATATAAAAAAATAAAAAATTTAAAAAACTATAAATAATAATTACAATAAAAAAATATTTAGATAGTTAGTTTCCATTGTTTTTAGATGGAACACGCACACATCTTCAAGGTGGGTGCTTCATACTTTTTTGGACCGCATATGCGGTCATGCCGTCCAGCCCTCATGAAACAATTTTCCAAAAAATAAACTTACGAACAAAAAGCTGCACATTTCGTGATTATTTTAGCCTCCCATCGGTCTGGCAGTGGACTAGGTCTTAGGGCCTCGCCGGGCCTGGCCCAGTCCACCGGGGCGTTAAAAAAGTAGGGTGTTGGCCCAAGATGCGGCCACTGAAGGGCCGATCTGGGGAATTTGCCACCATGGCTTGAGGGCTTGGCCAGGTCTAGGCTAGGGCCGTGGTAGGGCTGGGCGGATTCAACCTGACCCAGCTCCTGGACCTGTTCGGCCCGATCAGGCTCAGCCCATATTGGACTAGCTCAGGGCCCGGCCCGTGTCCTTCCTAAACCTAACTTTAAACCCTAAAAAACAGTCTTTTCAGTTTGAGAGCTCGAATCGCTCAATTGAAACGGGAGCATAATGCAGAGGTTTGCAGTCTGGCGATGGCGAGGTTTAATTAGGGTTAGGAAATGTACATCTTCTGGAACTCCGTCTCTTTCCTATCACTTTCGGTTGCCTTCTAACAAAGGTCTCTGCGCACAACCTTCCCTATCATGTGTTCATGGATCAATTCCCTTCTTCCATCTTCATTACCCCTTCTCCACCAATTCCCGAAACCTAGAACCAACAAACGAAGCGATACAAGCATTGGTCTCCAAAATCAACAAAAATGGCGTGGATTCCATGGAGAAAACCTTGGAGGAAGCCAAGCTCATGCTTAAAGGTAGGGCTTTGGATTTTCTTTTCTCATGCATAGATAATTCTATATTGGTTGTTAAGGTTTTCGAGTGGGTCAGTTCACAATCCGATATCAAACTAGAGAAAACCCATTTCGATGTCACCATTAATAGTGCAGGGAAATTGAAGGATTTCGAGACTCTTCTGAGATTGCTTAACCTGAGGTTTGAGCGCGGAATCCTCAACACACATCATACGTTCAAATTTTGCAGAGCTTGGAGTGATGACTTCTCGATACTTAAAGAAGTGATGAAGGTTTTTGATAAAATCAGTTTCAGGTTTGGGAAAAAGAATTGTTATGACATGTTGATTGCTTCCTTGTCCATGTCTGAGCACTTCACTGCTGCAAAATTCGTTCTCGAAACAATGTTAAGCGTTCAGTGTAAACCATCAGGCTGCACTCTCCATCCAATTATAGTTGCTTATGTAAAAAATGGGAAAATTAATGAGGTTTATGAGCTCTTTGAATTTGCTAAAACCAGGCAGATAACTCTAGATATAGAGTGTTATAATGCTTTTATGGATTATCTATGTAAACAAAGTAAGCTCAAAGAGGCAGCTGATTTTCTTAGTGATATGCTTTCTCTTTCTACATGTAAACCAGATGCTAGAATGTATAACTCATTGATATCAGCAGCTTGTAGGGTTGGAAGGGAGGATGGTGCTGTCTCCCTTCTTGATAGGATGAGGAATGAGGGGCTCAAGCCCCAATTTGGTACTTACACTTGCATTCTTCGAATGTTTATGGGACAAGGAAAATGGGAAAAAGTGTATAGACTTTTGAACAAGGTCAGAGGGATTGATCCAGTGTCTGATTATTGGAATTATATGTTTGTAATTGAGAGGCTTAAGAAGGATGGGAAACGAGAAGATGCAATTTACCTAGCATTAGAGGCAAAGTCCATGGGGTTAATTCTTGATAAGCGAGTGACTCGAGAGCTTTTAAATGAGAAACTGTGATGAGGTAAGATTTGTAAGGATGAATACGTTTTGGCTATTGATTGTTGAATATGTAAAACCAAGAAATTTTCTTATTGATATATTTGTGGGGGAGCCGTCTTTTGAGTAAATTTCAGAGTTATGGATTACAATCACGAGAAAAAGTCATTTTTTTGAGGTTTTTTGTGTTCGTAATACACGACCTCTTTCCTGTTTTCTTTATTTGATGGGTGAGATGGATTTGAACCCATGGTTATGATAAAAGTCCGAGAACTTAGTTCTCAGAGTAGCATGAAAAGAAAGATGGACAGCAGGGGAATAGCTGCTATAAATAGAAAGGGAATTTTCTTGAACCTAAGACAAGGATAACATGAAGAGCATGTAAGTTATGCTGAACCAACAGAATGATATCTTAGCTCATAGAACATGCCTATAGGCACTTCAAGGAGGTATGAACAAAACTAAGGCATGCAGACTGTATAGCATTGCAAGGAAAGCTTTTGAGGCTTTTGTCTCAGTGACTGACATCTTAGAGCAAGATGTCCTATAAATGAGGATTGTTCTAATCCAAATTTCTTTTGGGTTTGTGACTCCAGAGCATTGAATGAAGTGACTAATCAGTTATGCAGGTCTGTTTGTCAATCTCAATCTGAAGCTAATTTTATCTGTTGATGATACTGTTATTGTCCGGTAGTACTCCTTTCTATGATGCATGTTCAGAGCATGTATGAACTTGTTTAGCTCATTGTTTCTTGTTTTTTTTCTAGTTTACTTAATACGTATCATCATTCGATACTCCCTTGGGAACATTTTCTCAACAGAAGAAAATTTCAATCTAAGATGGTTGAGAGAAGGCCCTCCTTTTTAGATTTGAATGGTTAATATTTAAATTTGCATGCTCTAGGGAGCTACTTTTAGCCGAACCACCCTATCCTTTTAAATGTATGTCTTTCTTCTTTTTTTAAAGTGGTTCAAAAATTATGATTTTGCAGTAATTTGATCCCTCAACCTCTTGTTGAGAGGGCACACTGTCTAACCAAGATGCTATTGTAAGCTTGTTGTAAGAAGGAGGTTATGACATCTAGATATTTTTATGCATTTTGAGGGATTCAAAAAAGTTGTCCATGGGTTGGTGACCCCTAAACCTCCTAGAAAGAGTCCACAACGTCTAACCGAGGTGCCATTTGAATGGTAGAGTTAACAGAAAGTATTTTATACAAATATAAAGTAGAGTTTTTCTTTCTTTTTTTATTTTTTGAACACGAGCTAGACTCGGGTGAATTACTTGGACTTGTCCAAGTAACTCACCTTTGCCCATGGGTGAGTACCCTGTCCGAGTCAAACCTTAGTTACCCAAATTCATATAATTTGCAAGGATTAGCTCCTTTAAGCCATTAGTTGGACTACAAGGGCTTGTCATTGTTCTGAACCATCCAATTCCTTCATTCAAGTGGAAGGTCCCCAGCTAGGTTCGTGTTATACAAGAATTTCTGTAATGCTGGAAACACTTTAGGCCCCAATTGGGTAAATCCCATTTTCTAGGAGGTTGCTTTCCAGTTTGGCATGCTACTATTGAAGGTGCAACTTCTCTTTCTTTTTATTTTTTTATTTTTTCTTTTTAATTTTTTGTTTTTTGGGGTAACTGACTATGCAACTTCAAGAATGAAACTCCCAAAAATACTGCCCCGAGGCCCTGTTTTTGCCTTAGGGATAAAAGAAAAAGCCTCTGTGATCACTATCACCACAAACATGGATGGTGTTCCACTTGTTGAGACCCATTGAAGAGTGCTTAATTTCATGATTTCTCATAAAGACAACTAAAGATAAGGCTCGGATATGGTTATCAAGACATCTGAATGGGACATTAAACAGGAAGACACATCACATTGATGTCTTTGATTAACTTTTTCTGACTCTCATTTTGTACAATGAACATTTTGATAAGGCCACTAGGCAAGCATGTAGCTTTTCACAATATTCAGTCCATAGGAAGTCTTGTGTGAGACTTGCAAGTTCTTTAATTGTTCTGTAGGCAATGAGAAACACCGAAGAAGCACATTGGTGATAGAATGCCTTGGATAAGGGTAAGAAGGCCAAACATATGCTGATTTGACATCTCACCTTTTTAAGTGATTTTTAACAAGAACCAGGAGTACTTCAAAGTAGGCTTTCCTAGTTACTCCCCAGAATAGAAGACCAAGGTATCGCCAGGTTCCCTCCTTGCATATGGTTAAGTCACTTGATGAGATTCGTGTGCAATGCTGACTTTTCTTATGAAAGTAGATCCAAGGCTCATTGATGTTGGAGCAATAGCTAGAAGCTTTACAAGGAGAAGGGGGTATATGACTTTGATAAATTGAACGTCTGAATGCAAAAAGACCATGGTGCACTACTATTCAGCATGAGTCAAAGGATTGCTGCAATGCCATGCCTGTTTCTGTTTTTTGCTTATTCAGAAAGGAACCGTTGAAAGATGGTCTTCTTTCCTGAGATTCCATATATTGGAATTCATTAGCTGAGGCGGAAAATTTTGTTTTCCTTTATGAGTTACTTTATTGATTTGATTCAGTTGGTATGAGCAAACAAATTTGAAACTTCTAATTGAAACTCCCAGATTTTTTGGTAATATCACTTTGATGCAATATTCCCCTCGACAATTCTTATGATTGATTTGTCAAGCTGTTTGGCATTGGTTACATTTCCTGGATGAACTATCTTCCTCAACGCCCCTTGTGCTTTAAGATATGTTTTGGCAGGAGAGATTTACATCAAATGGTCGTCCTTTTAATAAGTTTGTAAATTAACTTGTTAAGCGTTGGAGAGAATCACTTGAAATGTATATAGATATGGTCGGTGATGTCCACTCTACAAAGATTATGTGACATCAAAAACATTTTGCATGACTTTCTTAGATGCGATACTACCCTACAGGCATTTCTTAATGGAAAAAGTATATATAGAGCCGAGGCTCTAAACAATCAAATTAGGTTGTACCTCAAAAATTTCATTTGGAAACATTGTTTTGATGCCTAAATATCTTCAAATTCATCATCTCGACATCAAGATGCATGGACATGAGAAAAAAATGGATTTCAAGTTATGGAAATAGTGCATCTTGTAATGCATTTTTGGATCGTCACTTTTCAAAATTTTCAAGTTTTCATAGATCTACTTGATCTACACTATGTTTTAAGCTTTACATTTAATAATTCGATATGTAAATATATTTTAAGGCTATTACAAAGATTTCTAGTATTAAAACTACATTTCTCAACACTATTTGAAGGTGGGCTTTACTTTGATTGCTTAGAGGTCAGGCGGCCCAGCCCAGTTAGCCCAGCCGTAAAAGATTAGGGTTTGGTCAACAAGATGTGGTTCGAGAGCCAGGCTATAGTGCCTTTAGGGTAAGGGCTACACAAGGCTGACCTAGCCCAGTCCTTTTCTTAGTGCTTTTATCTTTTTCATTTTTTTCCTTGGATTGTATTTAAATCGGCCTGGCCCGGCCCAGCTGTGATAGAGCTAGGAGTGGCCTGGGCTAGGGATTATTTGACTTAGTTTGAGTCAACCTTGTAGAGATTTGGTCCAGGCTTGGCCCTGGCCTGGCCCCTTGGCAACGCTAGGTGCCCTGTGCTAATTGTTTTGTAGGTTTATTTAAGTGAACTCTAATATATGGAATCATGCTGGACAATCCATGGAATTTGGCTATGACAGAGATCCACAGTCTTAGGCTCTTAGCCATGGTTTGTTGTTTCCTGTCGCTCTAAGATGATCCTTTCCAAATAAAATTCTAGCCCAAAACCTTCTATTACTTGGCCAGATTGAGTGGTCGGCATCTAATCAATTCGTATAGAATTTGGCCTAAGAGAACTAGGGGTTTATTCCTTGAATTGAGAGTTGGTTTAATGAAATTGGGTTATATTTGAATAGTCACATTTTTTTAAAAAATGTAGAATATGATCAAGGACTTAATGTTTGATATGTTAGTGAAATATAAATCTTAAACGAAAAGGTGACAGAAGATACTGTTTTTCAACTAACAACAATACGGCACCCTATTATTTCGTAGATAAATTACAGTTTGAGCCTAGAAATTTGACATGGCTTAGTTCTCACCATCTGATTTGAATGGAGCATGAAGACTTCTACTTCATCATTATCTTCCTTGAATTCTTCCTTTTCTTCTCTTGTGGGAGGAGAAGGATCACTCTTATGCCTTACGTAAAACTGTTGCATGCTCAACTTTGGGGTTATGTCAATCATGGAGGGCAAAGTAGCTAAGCTAGGGTATTTACGAATTGGTTCTTTTCCATAGTCATTGAAAGCTTATTTGCTTGAAGCAGTTCATCATATTTCCACCTCCTCTTGATAGTGTCGAAGATTTTTGTCTCTAATCTTCCACTTACCTTGCTCCCTTCCACTTCTCTTGCTCCCAGCTTACCTTACGATGAGTAGAGAATTGTCGACGTCTCATAATTGTTAAATTCATATTTTGCAAGCGTTTTCAAGACTAGCCATTAAATCTTTGTAGTAAGCTATGTTATTTGTGCACGGAAAATTCAGCCTTATGGTAGTTGGCATCATAACCTTTTCGAGTGAGTATAGAATAACATCGAGACCAGTGCCATATTTATTCTTAGCTCCATCAAAGTATGATTCCCACGTTGGATCTTCGATAACAGAGAGTTCCTCATTATGTGGGTTTGTATTTGTCGGCATACTGCTAGTAAGATGTGCTTAGCTAAGTGGTTGACAATTGTTTTCCCCTTGATTGATTTTAAGTAACATGCTCAATATCAAACTCACTTAAAAGCATCTTCCACTTGGCTAGGCGTTCATTAAGGACTGGTTTTTCTAGAAGGTACTTGAGTGGATCCATCTTTGTTGCAAGCTAGATGAAATGAGATAGGGCATAATGTCTCAATTTTGTGTAGCCGATAAGTGTTGAGCAATGCTTTTCCACATCAAAGTACCGTATTTCATAATCAACTATAGTTTTATTTATACAATATATAGTTTTCTCTTTTCCTTGTTCATCATACTACCCCAACGTAAACCCCATTGCTAATTAATTAGGGAAAATTACAAAAAACACCCTAAAATGGACTATCTATGCAACTTACCCCCACCAATCTTTTCTCTCACTTTTTTCCCCCAAGCAACCTTTCCTCGCAAATAACCCCCCAACCCAAAAGTAGCATGAAATAAGACTAAACTACCCTTGTTTGTTTTCACACGACTTTCTCTCTCCTGTTTTCACACGCGCTCTGGCAGTACAAACACACGCTACGGCATTCTGAATGTATGCTCCGGCAATGCAGATTTGAGCCACAACGCTCCGGCATTATGAAAACTCGCTCCAATAGTGCAAAGACGCGCTTCGGTATTCCGCTCCAGCAATGAAGTCTATGGAGCCACAACGCTCCAGCAATGGAGGACCGCGCTCTGGCATTCTGAATGTGCGCTTCGGCATTGCAGGTCTGAGCCACAACGCTCCGGCATTATGAGAACGCGCTCCGCTAGTACGCTACGTAGGACCCGCGAATTGATTTGGTTTGTACGAGAAGGGCATTTCTATCTAAAAAATAATAACTTTTTACCTTTAAGGGTTTTAACGAGGAAAGGTTGTTTTGGGGAAAAAAGTGAGAGAAAAGATTGGGGTGGGGGTAAGTTGCACAGATGGTCCATTTTAGGGTATTTTTTGTAATTTCTCCTATTAATTACAACTAGATATAAAAACCGAGGTTTATTGGAATCGAAAGGGGGGGGGGGGGGGGGGGGGGGCAGTGGTGTATATTTATTTAGTTGGTGGTTAAATGGTGCACATTTCTCTGCCTATTGAAATTAACCTTTGTAGGGCTTGAAGCCTTCCTTGCAGTCCTCTAATTTCTCAAATGTTTTTGGGTGGTGGCATCTTAGTGATAGCCCTAATCTTAGTTGGGTCTATTTTAGTGCTTCATAAGCTTATTGTAAAACCTAGTAGTTTTTGGATCTAACTCAAAGCAACTTTTTTGGAGATTTAGCTTGAGTGGGTGTTCTTGGAGTCAATCAAATACTATTTTTAGGTTAATAAGATAATCACCCCTAGTTTTGGTATGCATTAAGTTATGAAAGATAGTGGTCATGGCCCTTTAATAAATTGCCCCAAAATTTTTGAGTCCGAAATAAAAGGTAGACAATGTGATCTAGCCAAATATTGTAAAAAAATTTCTTTATTTTCTTTTAAGTGTACTAGCTACAACACTAACAATATCCACAAACTACAACTTTAATTCATAAGATAAAACTCTAATACTATTTAGGATACTTTGTTCATCTAAAATCACGATAGATACAATACATAAGAACGAATAAAAAAACATGAAATCATAAACTACTAAAATACCTTGCCAAGGATTACCTCTCAAGGACTTAATATACCCATTTTGGATCTCCAACACTCATAATGCACACAATCGAGGTAATTTTCTTAGCTCGACCATACTCCATACCTACTTATCCATACTCCATGGCTACCCATGCTCCTTAGCTAGACCATACTCCACACCCATCCATACTCCATACCTATCTACACCCCCCCCTTTACCTTGACCACTCATTGAGGAGGCTTGCGCAACGGGGTTCATCCCGACAATCACCTTTGACAAGTCTCCGAGATATTTAGGTTGTGTGCCTAGTACATTTTCCCCCCCGCAGCCAGTATTGCCTCCAAGGGGAGGTGACAACGAAGGGTCGCCAAATTTATTGAATGGTCATCTCGTCCTTAGCCTAGCCTACCTAGCCAACATAATCTAGCCTAGCACGATGAGCCCATATAGCCTATCCTATCTAGCCTCCCTCACACCCAACCAAGCCTCACATTCGAAGTTTTCAAAACTGAAGAGAAAAGCCCAAGGGTCTATACAACCCGAACTATACTAGTGCGCATAGATCCGAAGAGAGTACCGAGCCAAGGATCACGAAGGCATCGACTCCAAACTGCATTGACAGACGGCTGGAGGGATTTTCACGGCTGTGTTAGAGCGCCGAAATCTTAGAGGGCTACTTGCCCGGATGCATCCGACATCCCCTCACGAGGTAAGCCTGACCTTGTTCCTTTCTTTTGTTGGTTCGAACTGCTCATCACACCACCCACCCATCCTTTCTTTTGTTGGTTCGAACATTCTTTTGTTGGTATAGGGTCCTTTTTTATTCTTTCGATATTTGTCTACCCCTTGACCCTGGCTTAATAATATAGTGTGTGTGTGTATGTGTATGTATAAACTTGCCCTTTAGCGTTTTTCTTAGTATTTTTATATTTTTCTAAGTTTTGATTGTTTCTATTACATTGCCAAGTTTATAACATGATCGTTTTTTAATAAGTTAAGGGGCGAAGTGGAAGATGTTCTACACATAATTAGAGCTCGGCGGGGGAAGTGGACATGCCTAATTAGATTTTTATGCGATCACCATATACTAATGAAGCTGAAGAGCAAGTTCTATAGGATAGCGGTGCGATCGGCTTTGCTCTACGGGGCAGAATGTTGCGCAGACAAAAAATAATATACCCATAAAATGAGCATAACAGAGATGAAGATGTTGAAATGGATGAGTGGCAAGACAAGAAGGGATAGAATTCAAAATGAATCC